TTATTTCAACAATTTTAATGGTTTTCATTCAAAATTTCATATTTCATATATGAACGTGTTTTTATTTTTTAAAATTATATTTTTAACTATTGCGCCAATAATGATTTCTGTATAGGTGAAATATATTTGGATGGTTATTTATGACTTATCACTTATAGGATAGTTATTTTCATATGTATTACATATAATAATAATAAATAAAATGGACAGATTTTTACTTTTTTCATGAGTTACTGGAATTAACAATTATAATGTCTAGTTGTTTATTAACGCATTATCACAAACAAATATTTACATAATTATTTTTAATCAAAATATGTTTAAATGATATATATATATATATATATATATACTTTATGCATGTATGTACATTTCGCTCATTTAAAAATTTATATTCTATAGTAAATATGCCAATGTGCAATTCAACGGAATCCGTTTCGCAGACAAGAAAAACAAATGAATCATCATCTGGTGTATCGGGTAAAATATAATTGTAATATATATTTTCCTTTCTGCAACTCGTAACTTAATTTTTTGATATTTTAAATTATTAGCATAACGGCAAATAATATTGGAATGGTAAATATTAAATAAGAGAGCGAGGGATAAATTGTCAAAACGTTGTATTAAATGCAATGTGGCGTTGCTAACTTAAAAATCTACCTGATTTACATCGCCATTATTTATGACGCACTGTAATTCGGTAAATAAATGAAACCAACCCCCATTTTAACAAAACTATTTTTTCGACTTTTAAAGCACACATTTTTGCGTAGACTGTGTGCAGGTTCAATAAAAACCATTGAAATCGTTGTGGAAATAGTGTATAATTAGATACTGCAGATATGAAGCATATTTTAGTACCAGGTATTATATACCAGAAAAAAATGTTAAAATTATGCCAAGAGGTCGATCGCAATAGTATTCACATATGTGTGTTGTATATGTGTATATAATGCTTATGGTATAGGTTCAAGGCAACGACCGTCAAATTCATATTTAATTATCAGTCATTCGCAAATCGCATATGATAATCATTACCTGTGTACATGGACTTTTGTATTTTTTCCCGAATTCACTTGATTGTGTGTACCATACATTTATATGCCTAACATATTTATGTAAAATTTCTTCTTAATAAATTTCATTTGACTTGGTGAATCATCATCGCGCCGAAATATATATTATATATACTAGATTGTTATTATTGAAATGTATATACACGCCGAATATATATATATATACATATATAATTCTGATTTTAAAATCATCTCTTTTTGAACTTAAAGCGAATCATTGATAAAGTTTTCTCCAAGGTTTTCTTAGTTACGAGTTGTATACAAATTTTAAAACCAAAATTTATATATAACAAAAGTTCAATGATATGTAAGGACTTAAAAATAAAATAAAATCAACTTTATACAGAAAATCAACAGAGTGCATTAGTTCTTTTCCAACTTCAGTATTCAAGAGCGATGGAAAATTATGATGATCCATAAGCTGCACTAAAATGTGTTATGATTTAAACTTGAAGTTCAGATCGTGTAAAATTTTTAGGAATAAAACGTACAGTAATGTAATAGTTTATAATATGTTCAAATATTGTAGTCAAAATTATTATTGGCCATTTGGCGTTATTACTTCGTAATTTTTACAACATGAATAACTATTTTTAAATATATGTGCAATAAATTAATTTTATACCTGACGAATGGTATGGTTTACATTTAATATATATTGTATGTTACATTAAATATTTAGTACCATAGGCGTAAACTGGGGGGGGAGAAAGGGGGAAAATTGCTCCTCTAGAATAAATTAGAAGGGGCAGTGTCCCCTCTAATATTTAATGCACTTTGTTTTCAAATAAATACAAAAGGGCTGGTTATAGCTATTACTATAACCTTCTTTTTTTTAATTTTTAATATTAAATTTTCGCTTATCTAATATAATGTTAGAAAATTAATAATTTTTTATAAAATAATATGTGGGTAGTAAAGCCGCGTTTAGCCTCGGACATTCTTTTAGTTAGATATGTAATTATATTTTTTCCCCCTCCCCCTAATAAATTTCCAAATTACGCCTGTGTTTAGTACATACCAGTATATTCAAGTATTATTTAAAACTGTCAAATAAAGGTACACTCAACATTTGATTTCACTACAAATAATCGAAAATCTTTAATCACCTATGTAAAATAAGATTAAAGAAAAATATAAAGACAAATTGTTTTCATTTGATTATTTTTGATTTCAAGTTAACTGGTTTATTATTGTATTTTAGTTAAATTAGTTATTATTGATTTTTAAACGCCACATATTTACTGATACATAAGAATAAAAAACCATGTAATAAGAATATGAAATATTTTCATATTAGGAGTACATATCTAATTATAGTTGCACAAAAAAATTAATAAATTATTTATACAATATTATAACTATAACAATTGTTTTCATATCTGTTGCAGTATGAAAAATTTAAGTTATTTTGTTGAAATAAAAAAAAAAGTAAATATTTTGTCAGTAAATTATTATAAATATATATATAGATAGTGAAGGTCATAAAAAAATAAAACTATAAATTATAATAATATATTTTAATAGAAAATACCTGAAAAATGCACAGGTATTCATGTTTTTTATAACCATGTACAATTTTACACGCCTTAACTAGTTCATTATGGTCTATTTTCGAGTTTTTAAATAATTACCATTTAAAAAAAAAATAAAAAAAATAGTTAATTTTTTTAGCCTAAACGAATGTAAAAATTAATTTTAATGACACCTGTATTGTGTATAGTTTCAGCTAATATTATCTACTTCAAGTAGAAGAAAATCAGTGAGTAGTATTAAGTAATAAATTCTTTTGAATTTATTATACATTCATCTTAATTGTTTGGTGCGAAATTCAGTAGTTCGTTCTAAATATATTGTATATTTCACATCATTTGTTGAATAGGATTTGTTTCTTATTGGTAGAACTTAAAATGTGCATTCATCACAGGTTAATGAGTTTCAAAATAAAAGCAGACTGCCACTAAAAATAATTAAAAGTTATTCTGAATGAAATTCCATGATTATAATTCTTGTGAGGAAAAAAATCTCGTTTTACCTCGCAACGTAACTTATCCTAGTTATAAACTCTTACAATAAGTTGAATTATTAAAAGTGTTTTTTTTTTTTTTTTTTATAACGGTCAAATTTTAAAAAGGCATAGATTTTATGATTTTTATAATTATGAAAACATAATCACTTAAACCGTTTTTTAATTAAAATGTAATGTTGTTTTTGTTTTTATAATATAATATAATATTTAAGTTTAGGTACTGCTGATTTCGAGTCGCAAATAATTGTTGAAAATGTAGTTAATTGAATGTGAAATATGAAAACACTAGAGGATAATGGTATACTGATTTACTTTTGTATAGTTTGTACGTGATTGAGAAATAAAGTAAATAAGTCATTTCAATGATGTATACATATTAAATCTACGTCTATCTAAAATCTATTTACGTATCTATCTACGTATTATAAAAAAAAATGTTTAAGAACGAAAAATCATTATAATTACAAATTTTAGTAGTTGAAGGTTTAATGAATAATGTTTTCAATTTTATATGGTTAGTTATTGTATTTTTAATCAATACAAGAATTTATGTTTGAAACATGTGCAAGTTAAAACAATATTTTTACGGAAAAAAAAATATGCTTGGACTACGTCACATAATTACACCCCAAGATGTTTATTGATTTTTTTTCGAAAGACAAAACATTTGAATAATATGTGTTTGATCATTTTTGGTCTTTCAAAAGTGTTATTTCCGTAAAAATATATATCAGTTAAAAGACTAAAATTCGATCACTCAGAAATTGAAATTCAACATATTTATTTATTGAAGTTTTATGAACTTATTAATATAATCAGGCTAATAACTTGTACAATTAATTTTAAATTAATAATTTAAACCAAAATAATTGTGAAGAGATAGATAATAAATACTGAAAAATAGTAAGCAATTTTTGAGAAAAACTATTTATATAGGTTAGTGTTAATATTAGTGTATTAATATATTAAGAACAACATTTGATTAGTTAGTGTCGAATTTATGAGACTTATAATATCAATCATTTTCGAATGATTTTTAATTGAAATTATACTTATTAAATATTTTTGAAAATATAAGTAAATAAATATCATTTAAAACCCCAATATATCACTAGTCATAAAAATTTTAACCCATTTTATCAGGAATCTATAGTTATAAAATGCTATAAAGAAAATGGTCTTGAACAATAATTAATTTAACAAACTGAGACTTGTTTGAGATGCAAGAAAAAAACATTCAAATATACTAAAAGTTACGATCTATATTTATGTGTTAGCTTTTTACTGTTTTTTTTTTTTTTTTTTTTTACATGAAGTCAATAATTTAAAAATGTGTATTTAGTTATCAAAATATATAAATGGATGCATAATTTTTTTTTTAAATTAATACTAATTAGTACTAATATTAAGTATTTAATACGACATGCGAATGTTAAACAATTAAATAAGGAAAAAATATTATTATTTTTTTGTTACACAAATAAAAACCATGGTAAGCTGTGGCCATTGGTTCAACAGTGATTTAAGTTATTAGGTATTTACATAGTGAATTCTACCTAATCTAATATGTTATTATTTCAGTAGCAATATATGTATTATTGTTTTCTGGTTGTTGTGGATGTATTTTTGGGTGTTTCAATATAAAACTCAGCGTAAATAATAAAACGACAATACACACGAAGGATATTATGCTAAAAGGATATTTTCATTTTTTTCGTTCATTTTTGTAATTACCTCACATTAATAAATAACAAAATTGTAAGTAGGTAGTGGGTATGTGTGTTGCTTATCAATAGATGTGTTTCACTACTGTCAGCGAAAAAACCCATTTTTTTCTCCTATTATATAATAGTCATTTTTCCCGTGATACTTATTGTTATTATTTTTTTCAGACATAAATTACAAAAAGTGCAGTAAACCATTCATTGTCATGCAAATACTGCACCAAAGGTAATTTATTATTTTGAATAAAAATTAAATTTTACTCGAGATGTTGACTCGTATTGAAAAAGAAAACTGATGATACAGGTTATACGTTAGAGAGAAAGTTTAGCTTAGTGAGACATTTCATTTCACTTACAATAGTTTCGGACAAAAATCGTGTTGAGGAAAATAAAATAGTTTCTGCTGAAACGAATTAAAGATAAAACGTTATCCGGATAGGTACATAGTTGAGGCCAAGATACTAAAATGGCTGTTACTTTTTCAAAATAAAATACTGCTAAGGTTTTTAAATTCCAAAACATTTTTTTTTTTTTGCTGCTGTTGTTTTTGCCATTTATATTATACTTGTATTGCATCACCGGACAACTTTATCATTGTAATAATTCGGTGCTGCCGTTACTAAACATATTCAATGGTTAAAATTTTACATTTGAATTAGGATTCATTGTTAGTATTGAATCTGAAAGAGTACATAGTTCTATAAGACAATTATCCATTTATGTGCAGCAACTCGGATCATTTTCACTCAAACATTTTCATTGAAGCTTGATAAGATTTATTTTTTATTTTTTTTTTTCTATACTATTCTTATTTTATAGTATACATTACTATTATGCTTGTTAAGATTATAAAAATTAAATATATTAACACATGTAATTCTTATAAGGTTTCATTTTATACAAATTTTTAGTTACCTCTTTAGAAAATATAAGAAAAAAATGCAGTTTACTTGTTCACTAGTTGTATGGAATATATAAAAAAGTTTCACTGCTTTTTAACAAATTTGTAAAATCAATTTTCTCATGATTTTACTGTATATAAGACTGAATTTATAAGCCAAATATCAATAACTCTTCATTTCAGTTGTCTAGAATAAAATGGTTTTTCCTTGAAAAATTCAAATGAAGTATCTGCTCACTATTCTTTCTTTATATATGAGAATGTATTGATTGAAAGTGCACCAATATAAACGTATTTGAATATTATGAATATTTCAAAATATTTAAGAAAAGTATTTATAAATAATATATGGTTTTTTTTTTTTTTTTAATCGACAAGTTTAAGAAAATTAATTTATTTTTTAAAATAATATAGACTGTACTGTTACATAGCTCGCTTATGATAAAAAATAAAAATAATTGATTCAAATATGGAAATTTTTTAGGGACATGTATTTGATAAAAAAGTACTTTACGTATTGTAATATAGTGAATTCCAAAAATCAATAAGGCAAAACAAATTATTATTATAATTCATTTAATTATAGACCATGATTTTTATTTGATTTAAGCCTATTTTATATAAGCTATTCATATAGAATTTGATAATAATGCTATTAGATTTATTGATTTTATTTTCAATTCGATTATTATAAAAGTTTTGACAATATGGCTTCACATGCACTAATTACGTTTAAAGCTTCATTTTATCTTTAGAAAAAAAATTATGGCTACCGATTCATTATAATGTATGTGTTATATATATAATATTACGTATATTAACCGTAAATGATTCTTATACACATTCATTATCTTTGATACATTTTTATGTGTTAACAGAATTAAGTCGATTTTGATAAAAACATCGACAGTGAAAATGATAATTTAATAATTTTTAACGTATCATTATTTACTTTAGTTATTTAGTCATAAAAAAAATAACTTGAAAGATAAATTAATTTAACTTCGAAAATATCGAAAAATAATTAAATATACTTTTATTATGTTAAAATAAAAAATAAAATAATGGTCTGATAGTAATTTAATAATAAATTATAAAATATAGTACATTGGCTTGTATTGTCAATACTGAAAATATTTCACATTTATTCACGTGAATCAACATATTATAAACATGTTGTAGGTAATAATTATTTATGTATTAAGTATTTGAAATACAATTAGCCTAAGCACAGTGATTGAGAATAATTATTTGTATTATAGATTTTTTATGTAGACAAAGTTTTGAATAAAAGAATATTTTATAAAATTTAAAATGTTTTTTATTAAAATAATTTAAACATTAAGGATTTAATTGAAATGATGTAATATTTCATCTATTGAAGAATACTGCTCAAGATGTAATGACGTTTTTAATATCTTTGACACAGGTTATATTTATTTTTGGTTTATTCTTCGTATAGCATCTATTTTAGATAACTAGTATTTTTTGTACACATTGGAAACTAACGTCGGGTGTGTTTTATCATCAAATTAGGTAATCGTCACTAGCAGAATACTGTATCTATAAGTTCTTGGAAATGTTTAAGACATTTTAAAATATCTTCAACTAAAATCTATCATACTCAAATTCAAAAAAAAAAATGTAAAGCTTATGTTATAAGTTTAAATTTTTTAAAATCAAAACTTTTTTTGTAATGATCAATCATCACATATGTTTTTTAATTTTATATTTATATATATAGTTTAATGCAACAAAATTCACTTCAATGTTTATTCTCTAACCTTAACCCTTTCAGGTCCAATAGTAGAATTTAAAAAAAAAAAACATTTTTTTTTTGCTTAGTTTATTTATTACAATCAAATTAAGAGAAAAAATATGTTTTCAACATTTTTGATGAATTATTCAAGCCAGGAAGAACATGATAAAGTTATCATTGGGCATTTAAGGTTAAAAAATTGATTGTAGTTTAATTACATTTTTTCAACTTTTCCTTTTATTCTTTATTAATTACACAAAATATATCACAAAATAATTTTTTTTTAAAATTATACAAAATAGATAAGTAACATAACATGCTTAAAATATATTTAAATATAAAATAATTTACGGTAGGAACTTTCTTTAGAGCCTTTATAAATACAATATATCACTAGTAAATTTCTTATGAAGTGGTATAAAATAAGTACAATTTTTAATTATAACACCTATGTTTACAACAACTTTAGTAGGTACTTACATAAAATAAACTTCTTTTAAAGTGATTTAAAATACATAAGTAATATAACATGCTTAAAATATATCAAAACATAAAATAATTGACTGTAGAAACTTTCTTTAGAGCCTTCATAGATAAATTATATCACAAGTGAATTTCTTTTGTAATATTATAAAATAAATACAATTTTTTTACATATAAGATGCTTATACTTACATAAAATAAACTTCTTTTAAAATTATACCAAATAAAAAATAAAACATAAATAATAAATAAAAACTAAATAAAAAATAAATGAAAATAAAAACATAAAAAAGCATAAAATGTATTTAATTACAAAATAAAATAAATAATTAATTGTAGGATTGTCTTTAGAATAAATTAATAATTAAACAATAAAATAATACATTTTTTTTGGGACTTTTTTTAGTGCCTACTTTGTATATATATATATATATATATATATATATATTATTTTTCATTGTCTTAGTCCATACATTTTAAAATTATCACAATATTTTATTACAGTATGTTTATTCCTTATGAAATTCCATAAAACACATTCGATTTTTGGTGTAGCACAAATTAACATCACATATACTGCACTTGGTAATAGTATAATTTTTGATACACAGCTTGCATCTCTGTTTTTCATCCGTAGGTATTTGCCAATGATCTATTTTGTCATACCTAACATCATCAACAGGTCTAGCAGGAAATACCCTTTTTTTCTTGGTTTGTGGTGAAATAGTCAAATAAGAGACGGTGTCCCTCTTTTTGGAGTTTTATTTAAACCAGATAAAATATAATTTTAGGGGTCATCATATTACACTACTTTTTAGAGTACAACAACTTAAAATTACAACTTAAAATGTAACCCTTAATTATTGATAATTATTATATCTTCATATTATTAATTACATAATATTTGTTACGTGGTTTAATACACAATAATCGTAGATAAAAATAAAATTATCTTTATGAAATATTCTAGAACTAATAAAAATTAGCATTAATAATTTGTGCTTTAATTTAAATATTGAGAATTAATTGCATTTTTAAATGGTATCTTAATTTCAAGGTTTACTTGAAAATTAAATCTGTTAAAATGGATAAAGGCCATTTAAAGATTGAATGATTTTCTTCATCATTAAATAATGATTTTATGATTTATAAGGTGAAAATAAATTTAGAAATATAATAAATAATAACATTATATTATTATATTTTAAATAAAACAATAAAATCTTTAATATTTATTTTTCATGATGGAAATAAATATAACCTCTCTCAATTCATTTTTTTTTTTATGTAAACGTAAGCGTTGTTATAGCTGACGAAAATATTGCATTCTTCTTAAGAAAAAAAAATATACTATAACAGGTTAATAAATATAATGTAATTGCTAACTGTAACATTACTTTAGTAATTAAAAGAAACATTGACACATAACATTCGTTAGAACATTAAAATGTTATTGAGTTATGATAATATTTAAATTTTACCTGTGTTTCCTATTTTTTGTAATGAAACATCTATAATAATATACTTTATGTACATAATAATACAGTTTTTGAAATAAAAATGAATTTGATTGCGATTCAATCACAAACATTATAAGTTATATTAAAAATAGTGAGTATTATTGATTATATTAAAATATATAAGATAAAAATATTTTGTAAAGCTGCAGTTAATTGGATAAAAATCGAGTTATCTAAATATAATGGAATAAAAAAACGAGTGTCATGCAATTGGAATTAGATTATCGTTATTAATATTACCATGATTCTCCTTGATTATTAAAGGTTACAAAATTTTTGCTGTCGATACCCACACTTAAATATTGTTATGGACCGTCGTTAAAACCTCCATCCTCTGTATCACTGAACAACAACGGACGAAAGAAAAAATTACTAGCCTATGACTATGATGAACATTAAACTTGGTGTATTTAAATCAGCATTAAATCAAATCAAATAATTTTCCGAGTGAATAGTGCCAGTATTTTAATGATCTGCTTTTTTTTTTATTTGTTTTCGTAGGATTTGGTGCCATTTTCATAATTGATTAATTTCCAGAATTGTTAAATGAACAATGACGGTCA